AAATCTCCAAGAATTGTTTAATCACCGTCATTCTTCATTGAGAAATATAATTGAGAGGACATTCAATGTGTTAAAAAAAAGATTTTCCATTATAGGAAGTTGTTTGAAACATCCAAGAATATAATATTTGGGTGTTGTATTTTGCACAACTTTCTACATGGAGTAGATAATGATGAATCTTTTCTAGAGGAAGTAGACCAAGAGTTAAACGAACAACATGATGAAAGACGTATAACACAAGTTAACCAAGATGATTATACGAAAGGGGTTAACTTAAGAGATATGATAACAACCTAAATGTGGACTAATTATCAATAATAGAGTAGACGTCAATTTTGATTTTGTTTTTATTATTATTAATTTATTTCATGTGTAATTGATGATATATATTTTAATATTATGATCGATTCTATATTTTAAGAATAATATCATCAAAACATGATAAAGTAGTAAAAGTTAGTTACTTGCGGGTTCACAATGAACAAAGGGAAATGACAAGTTGATCCTAGTCGGAACATGCGTGAATTTACAAAATGGATTGAAGACATGGATTTTCAACTACTAACCGCTATGATTGATGAGGTTGGAAATATGATAGATGAAAGTTGGACAAGTCATGCATATACTAACATTATCGATGCATTACAACAAATAAGTTATACTACCATAAACAAAAACAACATAAAAAACAAATAACAAAGTCTTAAAGATCGTTAGCAAAAGATACATGATTTGTTTAATGGTCTCAACGATTTGCTTGGAATGAGACCATAAGAAGATTTGAAGTTGAGCTTAAAGTATGGAATGACTTGATTCAGGTATTACATTCAATAATATATTTTAACAATTATTTGATGAGTGAACGAGTGATGATCCAAAGAAGCTCTACAACACTGCAACATTTAGCTAATGATATATGACAATTGTTATATCAACTTAATTTGCATGATGATAAGTTGATGTTATGGTGTTACAAGTTTATCTGCAAAAAACACATTCATAGGGATATGATTTTTGGCATGCCACTAGAGTTATGACTTAATTATTTGTTGAAGCACATGACCAGTGGAGGCTCGTTGTAAATGATTTTATGACTTTTCATTTGTACCATAATATTGTGTAAAATATTTGAACCATGTGTTATTCCAACTATGTTTGTACGAACAATGACAACTTGATGTACTATGTGTGTTGGGAGATGTTCAATGTTCTATGTTTATTTATGTTTTAATATGTTTCTGTTCATTTATATACTTAATGCATTGGTGCTATATACATTTACAGATTTGAATCATGTTTTCATCATCGTAAAAAACAAAGAAACAAAGACATGCTTAAAAAAGTAAGGTGAAAAAGGCAATAGAGGATCTTACACTAACCCTTCCTCCTAACTTGCCTCATTTCCCAACTTTGTTAGATCATGATCATTATTTTAGCAATGAAAGACAAATGAAAAGATATTATGAGATTATGTCCACAAATCCATAGTCCAACCAAGGGCAATGGAGTTTAACTTTTTTATTATGGCTAGGTTTTAATTCTTGCAACACCTTTCTTTTTAAGGGTTAAATAGATTTCTAAACTTGACACGTAGTATTTATGAATATCTCATAAAAGTCTTTTATACAAATTTTGAAATTGATTGAGTTTGATGATCTAGTAACTAAGGTGTTATAGAGAGATATCAAGATAAAACCTGATGATTGCCTATATTGACCGATTTAAAATATTAGGATCGCCACATTGATCTTGTTGACATCACTAAATACATGGAATATGATAGGAATGAGGCATTGACTACACTAATTAGACTGTAACTATATGTACGAACTTGTAAAAATGTCGATAATTAACCGTGGAGGACAACATTCCGATTAATTGGTCTCACTATATCATAAGACATATGAGATGATATGGCTTAGATTTGACTATGTAGTCAAGTTTGTGAGTTGGACAAATAGGTTTAATGAGAGATATCTAAAAAAATTGGATGTGGTAAATGTTGATTGTGCATGACAATATGGTAGGGGTCACCATGCCACTAACCTAATCTTAAGTAAGATAACCCTTTTAGTGAACAGAAGATGTGAGGGTTGAATAAGAATAAACACTTGCTCAAGAAGAATAAGTATATCTTCCCCAATAAGTTGATACCATAAACTAAATATGATGAGGTATTTAGGACATGCAATGTATGAGTATACTTGAAGTCAATGTTCAAAATAATTATCAAAGTCTTCAAAGAGGGATTAATTATGTGTACTACATGATTAATCAGGTTGAAAGCACATTTAATTATATTCGTAAGAATCTCGAGTAAACATCTTATTCATGTCATATTTATGTTTGTCCTTTTATTTGCATTTTTTTTTGATGAATGTACTTTTTATTTATTTATTTTGGATGACTATACTATTTAATTATTTATTTTGGATGATTGTAATTTTATTATTTATCACTGTACTTTTTTATTTAAGTTTTTTTTAGATGACATTGATATTTTTCGGATGAGTGTACCTTTAATATGGACATAGTACATGTTGTTCAAACATTGTATTTTCTCGACAAATCAAATTTTTACAATTTTTAAACAAATAATAAATTATTATTAAGGTAATAAACAAATTAATTTTTAATATTTCTATAAAATTTCACAAATTATTTTTATAATTTTTATATACAACATAATTTTAATGTACTCTCATTTTTATCTATAATGTAAATTAATCACTTCATATTAAATTATATTACAATTATAATTTATACTTATTTTACTTATAATAAATGGAAGAGAATTTTTGATCAATAGACATTCTATATTATTATTATTTAATTTATTTATTCAATTACGTCAATCTTATCATTTACAATCTTTTCATTTATTTCACTTCAATTTTCTACTCTCTTTCCCTCAATCCAAAGAACCTTACCTTCTACTATCTTTTTATTCTTTTATACTCCTTCAAATTCACTCCTCAATCCAGGCGGCAAGACATTAAAGTCAAGTAAAGAAATTCTAACAAATACAAAACTTTAATAGAACAAGTTTTTATTCGACCAATTTTAGAATATTTGCGTTTGTATGTTTGAATTTAAGATTTGTACATGGGGTCTAAGGTGCATGTATGTGAATCTTGTCGAGGAAAGATAAATCTTAACTAATATAGAAATATTGTAATATTTTTAATTTGATGATTAGACTTTTTTTTGTGGACAAGATTTTACTTCCTATAAAATTGGATGTTCTAGGGTTTTTTCCATGACAATAGAAATAAAACGTACAAAATGTTATATATTTGTCAATTTTCATAATACTTTAGGTTAGAAAATTTGGATTGTAGAGGTGAGTTGTTACATTATTTGATTTACAATGATTTGTTTGTGAATTTGATTGTCAATATTTGAATAAGTTGATTTAAAACAATGATGTGTAATATAATGTGTGTGAAATGTTACGATAAAATATTTATATTTGAACTAGGTGCGACATACTTTATAAGAAAATTGTAAATAAAATCTTAAAGGATTATGTTTGATACCTAAACATTAGTTTGACATAAATTTTACAAGTATGTTATTTGCACATTTTGTCCAACCTACAATAGAGATAAGGATTCCTCTCTAATATATTTTCGTTTAAGTGAAGTAATTCTCATTAAAAAAAAATGAATTTTAAAGGTGAAAAACTTGTATCGGTCTTATTTATTTTCGCTTAAATGAAAAATATTTTGTTTAAACAAAAAACTCTCATGGGAGTGAAACTTGTTTTGTTGTAGTTTTGCTCAAGCGAAAATAATTATGCTTAAATGAAAGTTTTTGTAGAGAAAAAATAATTTTTTGAATGATTTTCATTTTGTTTTAAAAACTTAAAAATAATGAAAATTGAAAATATAATGTAATTTCTTTGATGTAAAGAGTATGCATATAACTTATGATGTTATAATATGAGAATTTTAAATGAGTATTCTCGTATGTGATGTAGTGTGTATGTATATTAAATTGAGAATTTGATAAAAGATTTGCTTGATTCTATATATCATATAAATGAAAAGATCTAATAACGAGAATAGATAAAGATTCTTCATACTTATTTTAGGATATAGATTTTACTTATTAACATATAAATATAGGGGTTTACTTGATGACATGTATCATAATGATTTAATTGATGTGAATCTAAATTTAAGTGATACGATTATTTAAATAATATGATATCTAATCTTTTAAAAATTATATAATATTTAGATGACATAAATATGATATTTATAAAGTGAATTAATATAATTATATAATAAATCTGTATAATATTAAATTGTTATTTTATAATAAATTTAAATTTTATACGTTGATTTACAATAAAGTTAAATTTTATATATTTATTTTAAATTATCAATGTTTTAGATACATTTATAAGAAACAAACAAGTGATACATATGTCATATCTCAATAAAAAATAGATTAATATTTAGATATTTTTCGAAGTTTCATGTTTTGTATTTCTTTACATTATACATATTATTTTGAGCTTGTTATATTATCTAACTTACAAAATTTTAAGTAATTTCAAGTTAATTTGAATAGAATACAAATTCACCCAATTATATTTTGAACGTTAAAATTTGAAATTGAAAATGTATGTTATTTTTGCCTTTTAATTTGATTTATTCTCCTTTGAATTAGATTTGCAAAATCAATTTTTATATTTTATAATAAATAATACACATTTTTATATTTTTATTCATATACACATTTTTAAATAAATATATTATTCATATTAATTTAAATACAAATTAAATCAAATGGAATCTTGTATATAAATTATCAATTATCATTGTCACACTAAACCTTAAAATCTATCTTGAAACCCTATATATTTTTTCTCCCAGAGCGACGTCGTTGGTTCACGTTCTTCCAAACACAGATTCCCCGCAGGGGCGTTTAAAGTTTACCCCAAATTTCTGGATTCTGACCGAATCACCACTCTCCATCGCAAACCCTAGATGGATCTTCTGAAGCAAGAGCTTCTCAAGAAGCGCCAATCTCTGGCGCAAGATACCGGCGGCAAGAGATTCTTCAAGCGCTCCGAGATCCAACAGAAGGAAATCCAAAAACTCCGCGAGCAAGAGAAGCGCGAATTGGAAGCCAAGTCGCAAAAGCGCCACGCAACGTCCTCCTCCGACGCGGCCAACGCCGCCCCCGCCTCCTCGGCCACCGCATCCGCCCCGTCCTCATCCTCCTCCGCCGTCGCAGCCGCCTCCACCTCCCTCACTGATGAACAAAACATCGACAATCTCGTCCTCCCGAAAGCAGAGGTCATCCGCCGCCTCCGCTTCCTGAAGCAGCCGGTCACGCTATTCGGAGAGGACGACGACGCCAGGCTGGACCGCCTGAAACACGTTCTCAAGGCCGGCGTGTTCGAGGTGGACAGCGACATGACCGAGGGGCAGACCAACGACTTCCTGCGCGACATAGCGGAGCTCCGGAAGCGCCAGAAAACCGGGATTATTGGCGAGAGGAAGCGCCAGAAGCCCGACGACGGAGCCGCCGAGGACCGTGAGGGTGGAGGTGGCGACGACGACTTGAGCGAGGGCGGGTCTAGTGGTGCCGATGCCGATAAGGACTTGAAGCGGATGAAGGCAAATTTTGAGGAGCTGTGCGACGAGGATAAGATTCTGGTGTTTTTCAAGAAGCTGCTGAACGAGTGGAAACAGGAGTTGCACGAGAATCCTGAGGCGGAGAAGCGCACGGCTAAGGGGAAGTCCATGGTCGCTACTTTTAAGCAGTGTGCCCGGTACTTGAATCCGCTGTTCAAGTTTTGTAGGAAGAAGGTGAGTTTTTTTATATGCTTTCCTTTGGATTTGTGGATTGGTTGTGCATGCGTTTTGGCAACCCTTGTTGTAATTGGTCTTGGTTTTGTGATTGGATGATATTGTTAACTATTAAATGTTTGGCGGAATTGCTACACTAAGCTATATTCTGAAGTATAAAGCAATTTCAATGAAGAGAAATAGAGAGTAAGCTGTTGTCATTATGCCTTCAGAGAACTATATTCATGTCACCTAGGTGTAGATGAGAGTGTGGTGTTATTATCTTTCTACTATGTTTTTTGGATTGATAGGACCGTAAAATGCCATTCTGAGGGTATTTGTGTGATTCTGCACCATAGTTGCCCTACGGCGCTGTAGGATTCGAATAATGGCCGAAAGAGCATATCTTTTTGAGCTACTTCCTGGTACGGGTTTCAAAAACCCAATTTTACCGCTGAAACAATGTTGGTTTTTATTTTGGGTGAATTTCTTAATTTCCCACTATTTTCTAATGCCATTTTAGCTTCAGAAACATAATAGGATTTGACACCCCTTCTTCCTTGACCGTTCTACAAAACTTTTCTTAAATTTGGACCTAGTGCCTAATTCATCGGTACAACTGACTTGCAAGGTGAGGATGGTACAATCCTTATAAGCACTAGTTAGGTCATATTTATAGTCGATTAAGAATATCAACACGCCCGCCCCCTCAAGGCTGTAATTAAGGCAGCCCAAATAGGCTGCAATTAGACTGGCTGGGAGTGACTGCAGATAAGGTCGCTTGGTAACAGTTGTCTGTTTGACTTCCGTTTTCTCACATTTTACAGAGCTATTCTCTCTCCTGTATTCCATTATTTCTGTTTCCTTTAGACTTCCTACTTCATACTCTGCTAAAGTGTGAACTATTTTGTTATGTTCTTTTTATACCAACTTAATTTAATTTCACAATCTTCTTTCATTTTTTGGACATCATATTAGTGTTCGGCAAAATAATTTTGGAGATTTCCTGATGAATATAACTGCGTTTGGTGCTGAGCAGTGTTACTAAGTATAGTTCATTACTTCTTGGGATTGATGAATCCTTTATATATCTTTTATAAGCCTGTTGATGGATTTTACTGTATTCCTTTGGGTAGCTTTTGTTTTGGTGCATTTTATTTCAAGGAAATAATCTATATTTTTGCCCCCAAAATATTTTTCAAGAAGCCACTAACACAAACATTTCCCCCCAAAATAAGCTGATCCAAACATTCACCAACATTTTTTCCTACGAATAAAAGCCCAGGTGGAACCTAATGGGCTTGATGGATTAATGCTGGCAACTTTTCTAGTGGGATAAGGATGTTTGTTATAGTTGAAAACTTTAAATTGGGATAAGGAAGGTGGTATAGAAATTGCTTGTGTAGGTGTAGTTCTTGATTTTGATGCACAAAATTTGTTAACCGGAAATCTCAATGAAACTGCTTTACCAAATGATTATCCCACATCTTCTCTCAGCAATTTTGTTGAGAAACTTTAATGGAGGGTCCAGAAAAATCTTTAGACTAAGGTATATATAATAATATGACTAAGGGAAGAAACCCTGGCAAGATCACAGTAAAAGTTCCCTGGATATTTAGGAGTTTCCAACAAATGAACCCCCCACGGTTACTGAGTTAGAAAAACCAGCCAACCAATCTGCAACTTTATTGTCTTCAGGGTCCTTGAGTGACACAAATCACCCAGCTCTTCATCATTTGCTTAATGGAGCTAATCAAAGCTCGGTGATTTCATAATACCAATATCATATACCTTATAATACTTTATAGTATCTTTAAAAATTACCACTTACAATTTGCTTCTCTATTTTCTTAAAATTTTCAAGTTTCTTATATTTTATGATTTGTTTCCTTATTTAGTTAGGGATTATTAGTATTAATAATAAGTGCTTTAGGTTTTACTAGCGTGTGGTCATATATACATTTCAGTGTTCTGTTCACATTTATCTCTCTCCCTTTCCCTACCTAAAACCCAATAATAACTTTCTTCAGAAATCAGAATTGTACCTGAGTCTAACCAAGTCTCAGACTTTGAATATATGTTAAACTGATTTTCGACAATCCAGCAGATGTCATTTTGGACATGGTTCCACATATGACTGATGCTGATCCAACACCCAATGGTTGAAACTCTCTAACATCAGGCTATCACTCAACCTCACATTTGTACTTTGGAGAACACAGGTTCAAAGGGCACTGAGTGTGGCACTAGGACCCCGTCCTGGTTTCATAAGAGGTGCTTTGTTTAAACCTGAAAGCTTGTAGGTTCTTTGACCCCATAACTACCCCCAAGGGCTTTGAGAAAGCAAAACTGGCGTGAGAATAGAATCTGGTAACTTCTGGCTCCTTTCTCTGATTCCCAATGGTGGAAATAACATTTCTATTTGTCGTGCTTCCATGTTTTGGGAGCATTATGGTTTGTAATTTTGCATAGTGCAAGTCGATCAAGCAGCCATTATTGACTGGGGTATGTTATATAATTTGGCTTTCATTTTCCAATCCTTGTGTCCTTTCAAGAAGGTGATAGATAGTAAGTGCCTATTGGTTCTCCGTTGCAACTACAGAATCAAAGGATTTACGAACATGGTTATAATCGTTGATATTTAGCATATCTTTTTTCTTGGCTTACTAGTATATACTGTTTCGAGCAATGAATCTTGTTTGAGTAGTAATCATAAAATTTTACTGCTGTTTTCTGATGCATTTTCTAATAACTGATGGAATGCATGCGATGTGATCTAATTTCAGGTTCTTCCTGATGACATTCGACAGGCGCTGTTGGTGGTGGTTGAATGCTGTATGAAGCGAGATTACCTGGCTGCAATGGACCATTATATCAAGCTGGCCATCGGGAATGCACCCTGGCCTATTGGAGTCACTATGGTTGGTATTCATGAAAGATCCGCCCGTGAGAAGATCTACACCAACAGTGTTGCTCACATCATGAATGACGAGACCACTCGCAAGTACTTGCAATCCGTGAAGAGATTAATGACATTTTGCCAGCGGCGTTATCCGACATTGCCGTCTAAAGCAGTTGAGTTTAACAGTTTGGCAAATGGCAGTGATTTGCAGTCACTTCTAGCAGAAGAGAGATTCAGTGGGGTCAACCAGACATCTGAGGAGAAGCTTAGGATAATGCCTGCTACCAGAGACAGCTAGTTATTCATGTTTGCAGAAACGACATCATCATATGATGTATACTATCTATGTCCAATTGCTACTTTGCTTGATACCGTCGGTTTGTATCGAGTATTTGTATAAAAGAAAATGCATCTTTTAAAATGTCGAAAACATGTCAAATTCCGATGTTGTGTGCGTTGCCTATGATTTTTCTTTTAGCAACTTGCCCCCTGTTTTTCTTCAAGTTGTTCATTACGTTAGCTTTCTTTTACTGTTTCAATGAGCGTCGCGGTTGGGCTTCGTTCTCTTTATAGCATTTTCGGGCATTGCGGCTTGCATCTCGTTTATTATTATTTTTGCCTTGCCTGAAAAGATTATTTTATCTATTTGGATATTTATTTTGTAAAACTAAGGGTAAATTATGCATAAGTGTTATATATAATAATTCAAAGTGTATTTTAATAATTACTTTTCGAGCATCCAATTGGTTGTTGAGTGAACAAAAGAACGACGGAGAAAATTTGGCGTTTTGTGTAATATTTTAAACGAGTGTCATTTTTTAAACAGCTGTCAGGAAGCACCGAAGATTGTAGACGTAATAAAAAACAAAATAATAATACATTCACTTTTGTATAATCAGCAGCTGTCAGTTTGATTAGGAGGTGCTTAACGAAGAGTTAATTTTGATTGGGCATGAGTAATAAAGAAATGGGACTTAGTGATGTGGATGAAATGTCATGTTGAAGGAGAGGAGCGTAAATAACAAAATATAATAGTTTTGTCTGAGAAAGAACTAACAAGAAGAGGAAAAGGTAATATAAGAAAATAAATTAAAAAATAATTGTTTTGCACAGATGGAGGGTCGTGAGCCATGTGATGGTCCACGTGGCGCTATGGCGACAGGCACCGGCACTGAAACGCATAGGATCTATCTGCGGTACATAGCCTTAGGCACGGAATCAGAGAGGGTGAGGGTCGTGTGAATGTGAAGAAACTAAACCAAACCACTTACCACTCACTCCACTACTCACTCACTCTTGGCCTCTGGGTATGGATTCCGTCGTACTCCACAGTGTGAGTGCGTCATCAGCGGCGTCATCGTCGTCGTCGTCGTCGTCAATGGCGAAGCGTCCATGTCCGTCGCAAAACCCTAGAGTGGACAACCTGAGCGATGTGGAGCGTCTTCTGGATGCGTTTCTCTCCCTCTCCGACCTCCCTTCTCTCTCCCTCGATCTCTCTTTCGAGAGGCTTCTCCAATCGGTCCCCTCCGACTCCGATCTCATCGATCGCGCCCTCAAAATGGGTTCTCTCCTCCTCGATGCCGCCAAACACTCTTCCCGGAAACGCGCTTCCAACCACAATTCACTCGCCTGGCCCCTTCCTCCCGACCTCACCATCAAGGTCACTTTCTCTTCCCTCCCCATCTTCCCCTGTTCCTTTTCCTTTTCTTTTTATCTCAATATCAATGTAATCATGCTATATACTTCGTTTAGAATGTTACTAGCGTCCCCCGTCCCCCTTTCCCTTTCTGTTGATTCGTGTTTTGCGTTTCATGTCGATATGCTTATTAATTAAGTCGGTGGATGTGTAATTAAGGAGAGCAAATGATTTTTGTTGAATATAATTGGATCCATGTTTTCTGAGTATCTGAATACGAGGTTTATGCATGAACGAACTATTTGCGGAGGAACATGCAGCACGAGTTTATGGACTGTGGTTGCATTTTACCCAAACGATGGCTGTACAATTTTTACTATGTTTTATAATATTTTTTGAAGAAAGACCAAAATTTCAATTATTATTGGAAACTAATTTTGTTTTTGTTGGAAAGCCACCATAATTGTGGTTATCCCTAACACATCTGAGTTGCGGCCTGTATGGGGGCTGCGTATTGCAGCATCTTTTGGATGTGTTAATTGCAGCATATTTGGGGATGTGTAGTCTCACATCGAGAGAATGGCTTAAAGAGAGCTTATAAAGACAGTCCTAAGACCAATCTCTAAGAGTTTTAAATGAGTCCATGAAGTAGTTAGTAAAAATCTGAGTATTGATTCGGAGTCCTATGCACAGGTGTTTTCAATGCTTGATACCCAGAGCCTGTGCCATGCATCAGCTACATGTTCACTGTTTAGCAAATGTGCTAAAGATCCTTTGTGCTATGCAAATCTTGATTTGACCACACTTGTTCCGAAGGTTAACAATGCAGTAGTTGCCACGATGATTCAGAGAGCTGGAAAGGCACTAAGGTATGAAATGTCCTTTCCAAATATATATTTTTGCTCAGGGGGAAAACTTCATTTAGCTGCCAACTGGTGGTTTTGGTGAATACTTTGTGACAGTGCATAATGAATCACCTACCGGCCCCATCATTTCCCTACTGTACACCTTTGCTCACTCTGGTCAAAGGCAAAAAAATGGGAACGGGAGGGGGGTATATAGTTGCGTATTGATTATTTGTTTAGATGGTTTGGCTCATCTGGTTGGGTACTTTACATTTCATTAATGACTCTCACCTTTTACTAGCTCCTATTAAAATTTGTGCGACTAATTTCATTATTTTAAGTGAATATAACCATTTAAACTTAGTCTTTCTCAACCATAAAAGATAATGATTTCATATTACTTTGTGTTGACTTATTGGGCCTGCATTAATATGCGATCTATTATTTCTTGTGTTATTATATTCTCACATGTTTTAATTCTGTTAATAAGGTCTCTTAAGCTTGGTGTTGTCCCTGGTGCTACTACTTCACTTGGGTCTTGTCCACCATTTGTTTGTACCATCAGAAATGCTATTGTAGACGTATCTAACTTTTCATGGAATGATAAGAGATCTCGACAAGGGAGGGAGTCATCCATTCTCACAAGATGCTGTTTAAGCCCTTTAAGTGGGGATTGCGGTGCTCCAGGGTATTTTTTTCATGGACTTATTAAGCATTCAGTGTGTTTGGTTTAATTGTTTTAATGGTCTCTTATATTTCATTTTTGTAGGGCTCTTTTGAGAAAGTTGCACCTGTACAATATTGAGAGAATGGATAATGCATCCCTTGGTGCAGCATTGTCAGCATGCCCATCTCTCCTTGATTTGGAAATTGTTGGGCTGTAAGTTTATTTCCTTCAACTCTTGTTCTTTCCCTTCTTTTTATTATAAGCATTTTCTCACTGCTAATGTATTATGGATATGAAAATGTCATTGGTTAAAATGTGTTAAACATGAAGAAAATGGAACACTTTTTTGATGATCAGTTCACATTCTTACTATCTGGCTGATGTACTATTTTAATTCCATCTAAAGTTTGCCACATTCAGGCTGGGTATTCTGGTCGAATTTGACCAGGAGTAGAACAAAAAATTATTAGAAGACTGTGAAACATATTTTCAGTAGACCTTTGAACTGATCTATTGTTAAATAGTAATACGCCATAAAGAATTCTCACACAAGTCATGTTGTTGTACAAGCAACTCATCTTCCCCATGAGCATTGTGTAAAAAATCCAAAAATTAATTAGGTTGTCTGCAATTCCAATTGTCTATCAAACGTTGGGCAAGGGCAGAGGACTATATGAGCGGATACAGCCTTCCTCAACCAAATGAGTTGAAATAAAGGATTGTGTGATATTGACCATTGAATTTGGGACCACGTTTCTCCTTGCTTTGGTGGTGCAACATTGTTCCGTGCATCTAAGTCCCTTGTAGCAGAGTCTAGATAGCTGGTTCACATGTCCATATTTTTCGAGGGAAATGCACTCCCTCTGAAAAGCAAGGTAGGTTCCCTTACATACAAGTCTGTGAAGGGCATTATTTGTGTTGAACCAACGTTCAGCCCAACTCAATGATTGTGGACGCTGCTTATACCTTGTTAAATACCTGAAATGTCCAAACATCTATTTACCACTTTGTAGAGGCTAAGCAAGCATACTCAATTTGAATAATTTTGACTAGAAAGGCCTTAGCAAGATTTGGTCCCTGTTTGATGTAATGGAACAAGGGAACGCTTGGTGCTTTACTATTTCAGATATAAAACAATTGGCTATCTCCTTAGATATGAAAGGATGACCTAAAGCCCAAAAATGGGCGTGTTTGGGCAGTCTATACTCCATGCTTAGGTGTCATCCTTCCTCTTGGCCTTGGACTGGCCATTAATGAAATCCATACAGATTTCACTTCACATGATTCCAAATAGAATAGACGCAAATATTTAAGGATTGGAATCAATTAAGAACAGAAAAATTTGGAATTGAAAATAAAATAGAGAAAACATGGATAAAGGGAAGGTGCCATAAACCAAGGTGTGACAAGCCTAAGGATGACCGTCATAAGAATTGGAGAATTCTTGTTAAGATCACAAGATGCAGGAAAAACCCTAGCAGTGATAATCTCACAGTTATTTGGCAAAAGTTTCTCCTTTATTTTGAATTCCAAAAGGTTTATAAATACAAATTAAATTGTAAGTCTTGCCTCATTTGTAAGTAAATAAAAGAAAATTACAATTCCTACATTCCAAGAAAAGATAATCTATCCCAGTGGTCATGTTGACATATGCTAAACCGTCTTGGATTCAAAACTTGACTACAACCATTATGTTAATATTTTTATTTTAATACTCCAGTCATGTAATACATGTAATCAGTTTGGTCTCTTTAAGGTGTGGGATCTTAAACTGGGCTTCCAAACGACGAGCCAACCTTGTGTTGCAATGTCTCTTGGGCCTTTCTAAGTCTTCCTCTTGTCATTGATCCACCTAAGTCTTGAATTGGATCTGGTCTTGGTCTTGAAGATCCTCATCATGTCCTTGGGCTTTGATGTCCGCATCAGATTATGCAATGCTGCAGGAGACTGGTGCGGGTACTGATTTTGATTCTTATCACTCTTGTGTACTTCACATTTGGCTATAAACTGCTGGATATTCTTCTTCACTCCTTCCCTATAAACCACCCCAGATATTATTTTACGTGTTTGATTTTGGAACCAAGCTAGCTGTCATCCTAATCCTATGGCTGATTTGTGAATTCTGGTTAGCAACATAGAAATTTGAACAGAAGTCCTTGGAATAACTAATATGTCATTGTAATACCTGTCATCTTCGAAGAATAACCTGGATGAGCTTTGGGTTTGTGCCATCAGATCTCGTATGAACTTTTCTTCTTCCTCCACTTGCTCCCCGTTCAATGAAATGGACTCTCGAGATGGTAGTAGCATGTCATGTTCCATAAAAGTCCATCTGCTATCTGGTTGTCATTTCCATGATCATAGTGGAATTTCAAACAAAAAAAAAAACCTAGAGTTTAGAGGTCCATTTGTGTTTGGTCTTGACACATTAACCTCTGTTCCGTTAGGAATTTTAAACTCCTTGAATAAGGTTGAAGTGTCTGCCCATGAGATAATGTTGCCACTTGTAGAATGCAATCACTTCAGCCATCAAATTTTCATTAACTGAATTTGGTGAGCTTTTTTGCTATAGTACTTCTTTATTCCTTGCTGGATGCATCCATATGTTTTTTCAAAGCCGTGTTGTTCCTCTTGAGACCAATGGAATTTACTTTTTCAATAATTCTGTAAAGGGATTTACTATTTTCCCATAATTCCTCACCAATTTTCTGGATTACTTCTAAAGCCCCAAAAGTCCCATGAACCTTTTGAAAGTTCTTAAACATGAAGATTGTGGAACGCATTTTTAATTTCTTATGATCTGGTATGCACTATGTTAAATTCCATATGCCATAGTTAGGTTGAAAATACTTTCTGTTGTAAGTTTGACTACGAACAAGTTTGATTTGATTGAAATATCTGTTTCTTTTTAATTCTTATGTGAACATGTGATTAGCATGTATTGTGTATTTGTGTTTGACTTTTCATTTTTTTTCACTAGTTTCTTTCTTTTGAAAGAGGTCGATTCTAAATTGTGTTTGTTGGTGATCCTTTTCTTTTTTTAATTTTTCTTGAAATGCTAGCCATGTCGAGCTGAGGCAGACACTAATGTCAGTAAGTGCAAACTGCCACTTGATAGAGCGTTTGTTTTTTGAGTCTTCTAAAACAGGTAACTCATTTTCTCAGCTACATATTACCTTTTGGGGCTTTTGATATCTCTACTTATCTCTTTTTGATTATCAGGTAGAGATGACAGCTTGAAAGCACAAACCTGTTTTGAGCTAGTAAACAATTGTCCTCATCTAACATCTTTATCTCTTAGAGGGTTTAAGCTACATGATTGCAAAGTTCGTGTACTGGTTAAGGTATGATTTGATGAAAGTAGCAATTTTCAATGTTCTATGCTTCAGGTTCTTATTTTCAACATATTTTTACGCTGTGCAGTGTGCACCATTGGCACTTTTGGATAACTAGACAATCTCTTGTTAATCCAGTGATATTTTCTTTTATTAATTTTATTCATTAAAAGATTCATGTTTCCCTGCATTTTACTTTAGGTGTACATTGTAAACTTTATTTTTCTTTTTTATTTTTTTTTTATTGTCTTTGCCCTTTTTACACCCAAAACCTATATTGAGCCCAAGTTAGAGGTATTCTGGTTAACTTTTGCAGCTTGTAATTTACCTGTTATCATTGACTGTTGAGCATGTATGTTTTAATTTTTATAATAGTATGTATGAGCTCAAATCTATTTATTTCATTGTGATCATCAATTACTGGTGGGCAGATTTGATTTTCTGAATAATAATTTTGCAATATTATACACGACATATTGGTGGTCATTTTGATACCTTCAGGGGAAATATGGAGGCAAGCCTATCTTAATATTTTATTCATGTGTGATTTGAATTATTTTTTAAGTTTGGTCTATTAATTTTTAAATTAGAAAGCATTATCCTAAGTTTTCATTTTCATCGAAGTAAAACAAAAGCCCCATGTTCTCAGGGTTATTAATTCTAAACTGAATGTGCAGGGATTTAGGAAACTGAAATATGTTGACTTTTCAACATCCTATTCAATCACTGGTAACTTCTTGAGGTCAGTTGTTTTTAACAAGGCTTTGCAAGAGCCTCTTACATTTTTTTCATCTAGTGAGTTTGATTAAAAAAACTAATACCTTTATTTTTCAGAAACCTTGGAAGCTGCAATGGGGGGAATCTACTTGAGGTCTTAATTTTAAGGGATTGCATGCATCTCAAAGAGGTAATGTCTGTAATATATTTCTATCAATTTCTTCTTTTCACTCGGTTGCCTCCGAAACACTAATACTTCATGTGCAGATGGAAGTCGCAAGGCTGTTGACTGCAATTCTTGCTGGAGATTTCAAATTTCTTGTACATCTTGTGGGTATATAGAAATATATTAAAAACCTTGCTAAAATGAGAGTGATGTTTTTGCTAGACTCAATTTTTATTCATGGTGTCACTTTTACCTTTAACAGGACATATCCAATAGGGAAGGTTTAGCATCTGAGGCTGACTGGTATCACAGGTGCTACAACTCTAGGTAATGATTATCATATATGATGAGTTCCTTGAATTACTTTGACTTTCTAAACGGCTCTATTTTTTTATCTTCACAAATTTGGGGCTGTGTTCCAGTATTATGCCTATAAAACAGGTTTTGGAAGCGAGGCCTGATATGTGTCTGGTGGCTGAATATCCATCAGCAGAAGGAAGGTTAGCTAGTTTTCAGTTTGAGTATTTTTTATTCTGGTGCCCTTGCAGGTGGACAGTGATTTTTTATTTATTTCATTCTATAAAGGTCACCAATTTTGTGTTTGTCTCGCAGTTATATGGAGACATTTGATGCTGATATGAATAGTGAGATAAGTCTGCCCTCACAATTGAGCAGCCACACGTCAGATGGGTCAATTTTTATGAGTACATCTGAAAGTAGCTACAATAGTGATCAGGGAAGTGGCAATGAGGATGGTCAAGATGCCAACTACGTGATATACGAAGAAAGCTCAGATGAGACTGACTTTTTGTCCCTCTAGGGAATCCTTGTTGTGAGGCATCATTTGAGAAGGACAAAAATCTAGTGAACTTGGTACTCTCTCTCTCTCTCTCTCTCTTTGTGTGTGTGTGGATGTGCTAGCACTCCTGTGTGTTGGGGGAGGGTGGGTCACAAGTTGATTTCTTATGCGTAAAGGCAAACGTTAATGGGTGCCTTGAGGAGATCACGGAAGGAAACAAAAATAGATAGTATTTATTGAAAAAGAAAGAATGTATTATATGATAAATACAAAAATCATTTAATAATTTTTTTAAGAAATTGGAAATATTTAATTGGGTGTGCTAACTGCTCCTTCCAGAGTCCTTAACATACTTGCTTTACCCTATAATAGAAGCACTTACAAGGGTAGATTAGTTTGCTTTTAGGTTTTGACTTTCGACGACTATGCACTTTGAACAAGTTAACAGGTTTGAAAGCGTACGCAGAATATGATAATTTGGTGGTTATCATGGTCAACACGTGACAAGTTTTGTTATCTAGTACTAGTATTCCCATACTGGAAATTAGAGATACATAATCCTTTGTGTTCTCAAAAAGGTTCTTACAATTTGATGCTTGGTAGTTAGTGCCTTCTGTCTGTTTTCCTTTTAATTCGTTGTTTGTTGGACCCAATTCATTAACTTTGTCCGCTTCTTGCCGTTTCCTAACATTGCTATTTGAATTGATGGGCTAGGGGAGCTGTAGGGGAAGAACGATACCACCGAATGGATGTCAACGATGGATCCTGGATTTTTCAACTTTCATCTTGTCCTTCTTTCTAATTGATGTTCTTCATTGATTTTCAATCTGGAGGACAATTGGAGGCTAGTTGTTATTTTAAAGTTGGCCTTTGTTTCCATATTTGCAGTATTGTCAATATATTGCTGCTTCATCCCGCAGGCTCCCCACAAAAGAGAGGTTATTTTTCCTCGGCATCAATCCATATAGTGCTGGAATTTCTTTCTGGTTCTATTGTAGCAGAGGGGTCCTCAATTATGTATTCTGTACCCCTTTTAGTTAATTCGCAAATAAACTTAAGTAAACACTTATTTGTTTACTTTCTATTAGTAATTAGTAATAGGAGATGGGCAGGTCATGGATCACTCTATGCTGAATGAACATGGCCAGTTGATCAAACACATTCCTATTCATGAGAGGTTACATCCTTAAAAAAATGTATAACTCGCACGTATTGCATCATTTCGTGCAGTACCCAAATTATGGAATTGATGTAATATTCTTCCCCTCTCTGCTCCTAAACTTTACAAAATTACTAAATATTCCTGTGGAGCTATACCTGAGGTGCACATATTTACAGTAATGGCATGAAACTGTTCTCTGATATCATGACTTTCCAATTCCTCGCATTTTAATATTTCGGCATGGCAGCAGATAAACTGAACCGTTTTTGGGTTTTTATGAAACACGGTGAATTTTTTAGTCGAGTTGATTTAACATTTTAGACTGCCTCAACTTAACTCCATGTCTTACTACAAGGAAAAAAAATAACTAGCATGCCTTCATATAACTGTTTTTTGAAGCTCTAAAAAACAACTTGGGAATGCATCCGACTCAACCTTTTGAGGGTGGTGATAACAATAGATTGAGGAGTGTATTTTTGCAGCAAAACTAGTATCCACCACCAATGTCCTTGACTCATACGAATGAATGTTTTGACTTTGTAGCACCAAAACAAAACTCAGTACTAATAGCAAGTCATCTCTTCACCCAATATGATTTTTGAAAGGGCATTGCTATTAGCACTCCACGTTTGCTAGAAAAACATCTATCAGTAACATGAGGATCAGTCGGGTCCATCCCACGTAGAAAGAAAATGGGCATATGAAGGTTTTTTTTTTTCTTTTAAAGAACATGTGCATGATGAGATATAGCGTCATGACAATAATATTACACAATAATAGATTTAATATATTATGTATCATATTTGTTAATTTTTAAGCAAATTTTTTTTATTATAATTTAACTGAAAAAATATATAAAAGTCATTTTTAATGAAAAACTGAATCAGAAAATTAAAAATTAGAAAAAAGAATATATAAAATTTGAGTAGTTTGGTTTGGATTGATATATCATTCTTGTTAAGTTTCCTTTATGCTTTATCTTATCATCATGTTGCAATTGACACTAAGACAAACGATTAAAATTATTGTGTAAAGTTTCATGAAGAAACTATTTCACCTGTTCACAAACAAGATTCGAGTTTTTTTCAATTGAGAAATAAATTTCTGATCAATTTTAAAAGCATTTACATCTTAAACTTGTGAACTCTTTTGTTAATCTTCTTATTAAAATGGTTGAAGAGTGGATAGAAAAAGTGCTGACAAACATTGTTCAAATTTAGGCCCACATGGCTCTCTTTTTCAACCTTGTGGTTCTTCTAATGAACTTTTTAGTTTCGTAACTTTTTTATTTTAATCTACGCCTAAATTTGTTTAATTAGTTAGGTAATTTCGATAGTTCTAGCAAGTAATATATTTTTAACACATCTTTCTAAGACAATTTACGTTTTTAATTACCATTAAAGAACATTTACTTCTCCACATTTTTTATTATTAATTTCATTTAAAATATATTTTTTCTATACTTTAGATTAATTTACTCTTTACTAATTATTTGTATAACATTTTTTCTCATCTTAAATATTTAATAAAAAAATAATAATATATTATAAGTAAGGACATAAAGAAAGTTAAAAAATGTTATATATATATATATATATATATATATATATATATATATATATATATATATGACTAATGAAAATACAAGAATTGAAATGTTTGTGTATTCATATTTTTATATTATTAAATTTTTAAAATATTTTTTTATTTTTTATATATATCATATTTTTCCTTTTTCACTCTTTTTTAGTTACAAGTTCTTTTTCATTATTTTTACATGTTTTTCTCTTTTCTTTTTTTTAAAACATAATAATGTTATAATAACAATTTTTGATATTATCTTTCCCTTTTTATTAATAATTTATTTATATATAATATAATTATATATAAAGATTTTTTTCACGTTATTGTCCTTTGTCATCGAAAAAATACAAGTTATATTTATATTATATTATTTAGACGTTTTCATGAATTTTCTTTCTTTTCAAAATTCCGTCCATCTGCCAACATAATTTCATAAATAAATAGTTATATTTTAAAATAATTATACATTAAATTTTAATAAATTAAAATAAAAAATTATAATTAAAATTCGGACTATATATTATTATATCATAGAAATAATTATAAAAAATGATATAAGAACGGTTAAAAAAAAGGAAAATCTCCATATATTTTATTAAAAACTAAATAATAACTATATACTAAATAGAAAGTATGTAAAAATAAGAAAGTATCATTCGTAGTATTTCTTGGGAAAATAACGAACTGAATAAATTCACAAATTCAATGTCCCTTCTAATGTCACGGGTTGCAGGTGCAGAGAGTAGTAACTGTTGTGAATATCAGAGCTTGCTTAAGACGATGATAGCACTTGTGTCGGTGTTGCACTTTCCACTCTCCAATGGACTTCCCACACAAACCCACAACCTCAATTCGCATCACCGTTTTCCTTCTTCCTTCACTTTCCCCTCATCGATCCCCAACAAAACCATGGTCTTCGGCGTCAATCCCAGCGACTCCAAAGATCCTTCTTTTTTCGATGAAAATGGCATCGTCAACGACATGGAGGGTTACCTCAACCACCTCTCCCTCGAATACGACTCTGTCTGGGACACCAAACCCTCTTGGTTGGTCACCTTCCCCAATTCTTTCAATAAAATATCCTTTTAAGCCTTATTTTCTTTTTGAAAGTAAGTAATTTTTTTTTAATATGGAATTGTTGTAATTGTACATTGATATTGGACTTTTTCAAAGCATAATTTAACATTTTTTATGGTTTTTAGTGAGACATTATTATTGGTGGTGGATTGCTTATCCTTTGATATATTTTGTTTAGGTGTCAACCCTGGACAATAGCTCTCACTGGGGTTGCAGTTATTGGCATTAGTTGGTTAATTTTGCATTCTCTCGTAGTCACTTCGCTTGTATCGTCGCTAATATTTGCATGGTGGTACATTTTCCTCTATTCTTATCCCAAGGTTCGTTACCATCTACTTGCTTTTCTTTTTCCTATTTTTTTTCATAGCATAGTTCTTTATTTGCACAGTCCAGATCAGAGTATAGAAATTTTAAGTGTTTCTTTATCAGCACGTCGATGTAAGAAAAATAATTTTAGTTTATGAAGAAGCTGATTTCAACATTTCTTCTTTTTTCCTATACTAGAACTATTGTGGAGAACTTCATTTAAATAGAAACTAAATTACTTTGTCATCAGGTGAAGTTTTGTGAATCTCATAAAGAAAATTAATATAATATGTGAAAGATATCAGTGTATCATTTTTCATACACTTGAAAGGATTAGTGTAAAAAAAAAATTAAAAAGCTTGTGACATCTCATATAACTTCTGAAAGTGCCAATATAATGTACTCTTTGAATATTGCATTATCATAAAAGCTCTCTGCTTTTTAGGGGAGGGAACATGTGGTTAGTGTTTGAATATCTGAGCTTATGAATCTTCGATTCAATAGGATCTTGAGATTACCCTAGTATTTTTTTTTATTTTTATTTTTTTGTTGATGGAACATGTGTAGTGATTAAAATTTCATGTCGTTTTACCCCCTCATCGATACCTGCTAGATTTTAGTCACAGACATTCATCGTGCTTGTTCGGGTCTTGTTTCCTTGATAAAAAATATGTTGATCATGTGTTTCTCGAAATTAGAGAGAATATTATCAGATATATAACCAACAACTTGTGTAAGGATATGTTTGGATGAACTTCTCCATAAACTTCTTTAAAAAGAGAAAATAAGAAAAAAAAAAAACTGAAATTCACCTTAAAATTAGTTTATGCATGAGCTAATTTGTAGAAACCCTCTTGCATAACTTTTTTATTTTAACTTGTATATAAACTAATTTTAGTTTAAGGAGAAGTCAAGTTTATCTTTTTTTCTAGAAGGACTTGTGGAGAAACTTGTTCCTGCTACATGCTAGATGTTCTAAATGGTATTAGCTATTTGCATTTGAGAAAGTTATGTCTTTTATTTCAGAATTATATTGATCTCTTTTGATATTTAATTATCATTACATTTAGAGAAACTCTATGTTGTTTAAATTGGTTCTTCAATTAAAAACTTGATAATACCGTTGAAGTAAAGGAGTTATCATAGAAGTTGTTTACATAAGCAACTGCAGGTTATTTAAGCATAAAAAAAAATAATCAAATGTTCAAGTCAAAATGAACCCTCTCATGTGTGTATTTAGAAATAAAACAGAAATCGATAAAAATAAGTGAAGAATTTAAGTTGTGTTCTACATGGAGTGAAAATTAGTAATTGCTAACAAGACATCTATTAAAAGAGAATTAGGAATCTGAATTGAGTTCTTATGTTGAAAATTCTCTTAAAATGTGACTTTTCACATGAGAAGAAGGTCAAGTAGGGCTAAATCTCGGGTGAGGCTAGTTTATTTTCACATTTTTTTGTACTAATTTTCAGCAAGATTCATATAATATTTCTTGTCAGGCATATTCAGATATGATTGCTGAGCGCAGAGAAAGAGTTACAAATGGTGTTGAAGACACATTTGGTCAAAGGAAGAATCAGTGATTTGTATATTATTCTTACTTCTCAGTTGTACCCATCTTTTAACCCTTCTTTCCTCACTCTGTGCCTCTGCTTGCATTTGTATATTCAATTACTGAACAGTGCTCGTTGTAGTTGAGGCTTTATTATGCTACTGCCAATTGGCTTGGAGATAACGTGGTGATGTACAAGTCTTGACAACCAGCACTCTGTACAATAAATATTTGACATTGTCTTCTAACACTGGTTTGGTTGAATTAAATTTTAGAATTGTTCCCTCAATCTGTGAAAGTATCCCAGTCAGAACTTAGAAGCATTTATCTTTACATAATCTTCGGTGAGAACTACGTAGCATTAATTATTGTTAAAAAACGTGTTCTTAGCTTGTTAAAAGTCGTCAGAACTTATTCACATTTGTACACAAAAGCTAATTGAGAATTTAGATGGATAAAAGACGGATATTTCACCAGGTAAAAGTTTCCTAAGATGTTTTTCATCTAATAAAAAAGTTGAAAGCAAAAGAAATGGAAGGACTTTTCATTGGTAAATAATAGTCAAACGATTTATTGCACAGTCCACTATAATGAACGTTCGGTATAATGCCATCCGCAAAGTGGAAGGCAAAATAATTTCCAACACTTTCTTTTTTCCCTGGACCGCGTACAGCAGTACTCGGGGAAAATGGTTGAAAATGATAAATATAAAGAACATTATGTGATTAAAGTTTTCCCTTTGTATATTAATTGGAGAATTTTTAAGGAAAATAAATGGAGTTGAAAAGGCTCATAGCTTGGTAAGTTAACTCACTCGACGTTAGACTCAATATATCTTGGTCATTTAATGCAAACAGGTTTTTCAAGACATTTATCCATAGATTTAACAATCAGAATTTGGAGCGAACAAGATAAATTCAGCACTTTTTTCCCCTCCCCCAGCATGAATAGAAAAAGATTCTCAGAAGGTTGATGGAAATTTAACCAATTTCTTTCAGGTTGTGAAAGTTGAGCTATTGTTTTCGGGTAGTTGGTTGTTGAAAACGGAAATTGAAATCAAAATCAACATTTCAAGCCTCCGCTTTAAGTTAAACGTCAAGACTGAGAGTCCATCAAAGCTGTCAAAATAGTGGTATTGTTTGTGGGTGATTTGTTGATAATGGAAAACATTTGAAGGCTTAAGGTTTAAGTTAAACGTCAAACTGAAAATCAGTCAAAGCTTCTTTGCCGTGTTTTTAAGTTTTTCTTCCACACACCTTTCAGCTCTTAGTAAACCATTATCTGTTGACTAATTTCAGCAAGTAGCAGATTCTGGATTTAGAAACTGCAAGAAGGTTATTCCATAAGTTCTAATGGAAGGAATATGGAGGGGTAGTGGTATATATACATGCGATAGAATTAAAGAGAAGAAGATAAAAGAGAAAAATACTAGGGCAAAAAAAGATGATCAGTTTGAGTTTCATGTATTCTGATCACATGATTGCTGGAAACTTTGTGGCTGGCAATACCAGTTTAGCACTCAAGAATAAGATTTAATAACTCCTATATTGACTACTCATTTTTCCAAGCATACAAAATGAGAGAGAATCCAAGACCTTGCAATTGAGAATCCCTGAACTGCTGAGAGTAAGCCCATGTGAGAACAGAAGGATCAGAAACAGATTGGCTTGCCCACATCTTCTCAGTTGAAATGCAAGTTTGGAACATAAAAACAGCATTTCCCATAGCATTTCCAAAGAGCCAATTATGTACATCCCAAAATATTTCCACTGGTAGGCCATCCACCAAAATGGTGTGATTGCCCCGGAACTTCCACTTGAGTTGCTTCACCTGCATCACTGTCTTGCTATCAATTCGGATCACAAGGCATGGATCATTAAGCCCTAGTGTGTCACACTCAATTCTCACATCATGCACTTGGCCCTTGTCACAAAACTGAGCCCTTGCACCATACAACTTCTTGCCAAAAATGTGCTCTCTCTTTGCAATAAAAACTGCTTCAGAGTGAGCACAAGCATAGTCACTATCAATCTTCTTGCATGCCTCCTTTTTCAGATCCCCAAGGAGTAAGACCAAATCTTGGTTGAACATAACAACCAAGTAAAATCCCTCCAATGGTTCCGGTCCAGAACCAAATTTAGCACAGCTCAAGTCCCAAAGTATATCAATTTTACTAGACTCAACCTCCAAATTCTTTGACCCTTTTCTTTTCGAGAACAACCATGGCTTTATATCAACCTTGCAGAGGCAATGATTACCCAACTCATCTATTCCCACACTCAAGCCTTGTCCCATCAAATTTTTGGTCCAAGAGACTGTAATCAAGCATGAACGGCCTCCTAACTTACACTGATAGACACAAGTAACAGCATTTTGAGCTCCCCTTGTGGTACTTGAATAGGAGGAATCTACAATCTGAACACCATTTTCTCCAAAGCAAGAAGGAAACTCCTTCATGGCGGCAGCAGTAGCAACTAATTATCTGAACTTGTTTCCTGAAATCTGATCTTTATCACTTCATGAGCTGGAAAAGATCATGGCCTAAATTCTACAAGATCAGCTAAAAGCTTTTCACTTTTCATCTGAGTCTGTATTTCTTTAGAATGAAATAGCGGAAGATGAAAGAAAGAAAGAAAAAGTGAGATTTGCTTTAGCTGTTAATTGTATGCTGATACTGCTAAAGTAAAAGCCAAAAATGTCTGATTTGAGAAATGGAAGGAACAGAAAGGAAGGGTAAGGAAAAGAGAAATTGCTTTTAGCACATGGGGTAACAAGGAAAGTGAAGGAATGGATAAAGCATTAAAGCCTGGAATAGAACGGAGAGAGTTGTACAACAAAAATTAATAAAGAATAGAGAGAATTAGAATTGGTCAAAGCATGAAGTGTGGCAACTGGGTATGTATCTGCTGCAGAGAGTGGTTTTTGTTTTATACATGCTCTCTCTCAATTTCTTTCAAATAAAAAATATATAATGCCAGCTCAATTTTTCAAAATTATAATTATGTCCCTGATGAGAGACAATTTTAAAACTGTTTAAAATAATTGCCATAAAATAAAATGATTAAAATCATTAGAAATAAACGTAGTATTTAAGGATGATATTGATATTGATATTGATGAATCACTTCGTAGTCTCTATGAGCTGCCATAATTAGAGTGTGTGTATGAAAACAATGGATGAGATTACTTTGACTAAGTGATAAAAATATATAAATAATAAAAGCATAACATTACTTAATATTTAATAATCTTTCCATTCTTACTATAAAAAAATCTGAACTATCAAAATTGAGTTTTTATAAAAATTAGAACACTATATTCAAAATAGCAGATAAATCGAAGTGGGTAGTCATGATATTATGCTAGTAAGTTGGAAGAAAAAAAAATTTGAACGTTTTCTTTACTCATCACAATTATTTCCATCAATGACTTCTTATTTGGTGGAATACCATAACCATATATGAAGATAAAATAATTGTTTTTTGGTAATACACTAGAAAAGATGTGAGAATGTGTCAATAGAACCATTAATTGAGAACTCAGTATGCATCTCCATAGTCCACAATCCAACCCCCAAAGCGTGGTTTTTTTTTTTTTCCACAATTAGTGGGAACAACTGTGTTTCGACAACCAAAATTGATTTTTGGCAACAGTTATTAGCTTATAACTTAGGCTTGAAGGTTAAAAACACTCTTAAGCTTCTACAAACCATTTTATTTTCTTGCATGGTTAAATTGAATAAACCTGTTAGATATTTGATTTTTAGACTCCACGTGATATTTTTATTTGTTTTATTTTTCTGTTTTGGTTGTTGAATAAGAGTTCCTAATCAAAGTAAATGTGTCTAGATTTTAGGAGAGAATATCTCAAATTATTTTTTTTTTCTACATTTTACGTTACTGCAGTATTATAAATGTATTTTGAACTAACATTCTAAATACAAGCTGAATAACGATTGATTTAATTTCATATTCATTCTCTCCATTTTTCCCATTTATTTTATTCTTTTCCATTCGTTTTATTCAGTAAACCTACAATTGGTATCGTGAGCTTTTTTCCTACGGGCCTGTGGATATGGATGTCGAACCAAATTTCTCACACATTGCACCTCCAGTTTTTTATGGCGAAAATTATGATCTTTGGGCTGTCAAAATGGAGGCTTACTTGGAGGCTTTAGATCTATGGGAAGCTGTAGAAGACGATTATGAAGTCCTTCCGCTGCCAGACAATCCTATCATAACCCAAATCAAGCTACACAAAGAAAAAAAAAACCCGAAAAGCAAAGGCAAGGTCATGCCTTTTTGCTGGGGTTTCTACCACGGTTTTTACTAGGATCATGACTCTCAAATCAGCAAAGGCAATTTGGGATTATCTCAAGACACAATATACTGGAGATGAAAGAATTCGAAACATGCAAGTGCTTAATTTGATGAGGGAGTTTGAGCTTCAAAGGATGAATGAGTCTGATACAGTCAAAGAGTATTCAGACAAATTGCTAAATATTTCCAACAAGGTAAAGTTATTGGGAACTGATTTTGCAGATTCTAGAATTGTTGAAAAAACACCAGAAAGGTATGAAGCATCTATAGCTTCATTGGAGAATTCAAAGGACCTTTCTAAGATCACTTTGTCAGAAGTGTTACATGCCTTATAGGCTCAGGAACAACGAAGAATGATGAGACAAGATCATGTTGTTGAAGGTGCTTTGCCAGTCAAACATCATGAAATTGATAAGAATCAAGCATCAAGCAATGTAAGTTCAACAAACAATCAATTTAGAAGCAAGGGAGGAAAGAAAACCTATCCACCTTGTCAACATTGTGGTAAAAAGGGTCATCCGCCCTTCAAATGTTGGAGAAGACCAAAGGCAAAATGCAACAAGTGCAACCAGATGGGGCATGAAGCTATAATTTGCAAAAGCAAAAATCACCACGATGAAGGAGCTCAAATTGTTGATCCAGAGGAGGAGGAGGAAGACCAACTATTTGTGGCTACATGTTTCTTGGGCAATGAGTCCAATGAAAGTTGGCT